TTTCCAATAAAAACACCCCTAGGTAATCCATACATAAGCACATATGGACTATGTTTATGTTCTCTTTATTCTTTTACATCCCCAACTCTCCCTTCCATTTGTAGCACTCGAAGCACTTTAATTTTATTTTGTTATTATTATTTTCATGATCCAAATACAAAAGGTTTGACCATGAAAGAGGAACAAAAAAAAAAATTATTACTGCGAATGTCCTGTCAACCTCTAATGCCCTTTTCATCTCTCTCTCAAAAAGTGTACGAGCACGTACGTTAGGATTGGTGTTTGAAAATTGGACTTAGGATCTGGCTTACAAAAGGTCTTAGCCAAGTGCCCTGAACTTGAAACGGTTATTTCAAATAAAAAACTAAATTACAATAAATGCATCATAAAGTTCGGATAACACTACAAAATACCCAAAGATGTAAATGAACAATATTTTTGCTTATGATCTCGCCACTGTCCATTTTTTTAGATGACGAGGAAAAATGAACTACTACAGAAATGCTATGTCTGTTGCAGTACCATTACAGACATAATAGGTCTATTGCAGTCGATTTTTCACCCATCGTGGAAAAAAACACTTTACACATTCGGCCATAGGCATTGTTAAGAGTTTTGGGTTTCTTGGGATTTCGGCCCAAAATCACTTCTTGATCTTAGACTCATTAGGGCAATTTCAACTCTGCTTGACAATTTTTAAATCAGTGAACCATAAAAAAAATAATTAAATCACTAGGCCTTACATCCGGCAAGGTAGCAAAAAAAGCAAATTCAAATTAGTGAGGACACCACATGCTCCTAAGTTACATATTTGTCTTTTTTGACGTTTCCCCTCTTTACTTGTTATTATTGGGTTCATGTGGCCTTTAAAGGCTTTATGAGTGCTTGTAAGAAGATATTTGATATAGTGGATCATGAACTCAATGGGAGTACCATGTAAACGATGTTTGCAGATACCGAACTGTACTTGACAGTCTAAGCCAGTGGGTTGGGAAAAACCCATGCTGCCTTGGCATAGAGAATAAACCGAAAAGAGTTCTAATACGTCATCCCTTGACAAGGTCGGAGTATATGCCAAGATGAGTGAGCCGAGGGACTATGTGACCCTTGTGTGTGATAGTGATCTATGGAGATGGGGGCCAAAACCTTATCTATGCACCATCACACGACATGCATATTGATAGACCGTTCGGGAAAGCAAGCAAGCCACCTTTTAGGGTGAAGCGTATAGATGTACGAGAGATACCCCTATGTGTCATAGAGCTGTGGTCGCATCAAGTCTAGGTGACATTGACTCATCTCTAGAGGAGAACCTGAAACCCACATACTAGGATTGTTGTAACAATCCTAAACTTTCAAAAATAGATATATATATAATAATAATAATAATATTAATGTTGTTAACAGAAATAAATACAAAAAATAATAATAATAAATAAATAAAAATAAAATAAAATAAAATAAAATAAAATAAATAAAATAATAAGTATATATTAGTAATGATAATAATAATAATAATAATACTAATATACCGTTAGGATATTGTTGCTTTTATATTAACAATAAATAAAAGATATTATTGTTAATATATTTGAAGGTCCAATTTTACTTGAGTGGACCTTCGGTCCACCACCTTAAAGATTTATAAAAACACTCATTTAAACGACACCTTGCGTTGAGGTGTTCCTTTTTTATACGTCTTTTTCTCTCTCTCTCCTATGCACATCTCTTTTCAAAAAAGCCCAACCTTTTCGCAAGTTTCAGAAGAGGAGAGCAGAGAATTAGGATTGGGGTTAGGGTTTAGGATTGGGGTTAGGGTTTTAACAGAGGCCACGATTGTGGAGTTAACGAAGTGAGGGGATTAAGGTTAGGGCTACCAGAATTTTTTCTTTTGTGGAGTGAGCTCGTGGATTTGCAGAGAGAATTACAAAGAGTTTTGGATCTAGGGTTTGCTAAATTTGTAGAGGGAGGGAGAGAGAGATGAATGAGAAGGTATCGTACAGTTATCCAACTACGTTCTCTACCTCTGCTAACTGTATAAAAGGAAATCCAAAAGCTTCTCAATTACGGACTCCTCGCTCTTGTTTCTCTCTCTAGACTTCTCCTTGAAGCTTGACTCCTCCTCATCTTCTTCTTTGTAAGTGACATCGTCTTCTT